TCATACCGCCAACCTAAACGGTCTCTACAATGTCTGTACCTTCATCGATATTGCCGACGCCTTCGACGGCATCGTATCTTCAATTCTAATTGAAACGCTAAGAAATCTCGGAGTCCCGGCTAAGATCTGCAAATTTATCCAAAACTTGATCATCGAAAGAAAACTTTATTTTGTGAACAGAGGCAAGCTTACTGATCCCCTCACGGCTCACAGGGGACGCCGCAGGGCTCAATCCTGAGTCCAATTTTATTCAATCTTTACTTACACTACATAGGAAAATGCCTTGACGACCCTGTTACTATCTTAATGTATGCTGATGATCTTGTGGTATTCTCTTCTGATGCGAACCTCGACATTGCCGCATCCAATACTCAAAGAGCTTTGACTTCACTCTCCACCTACTTGCACAACAAAGGTTTGGATATCTCCCCGTCTAAATCGCAATGGGGTGCCACCCGATTGACCACGTTACGATATGCTGGATTCACACTGCATCCGATTTTCGTCGTACGACGCTCTGCAACCAATCAGAAAACAGGATTCCGATGATACGAAGCAAAATCCATCGCAATCCTGTTTTCTGATTGGTTGCAGAGCGTCGTACGACGCAAATCGGATGCAGTGTGAATCCAGTAATAGGACACGCGTACGATTGGACACTGCACGATTGGACGCGTGCACAATTGGACACACCACGATTGGAAACATTCAATTGGACACGCGTACGATTGGATGCGTTCAATTTGACACGCGTACGATTGGACGCGTTCAATTGGATAAGCGTACGATTGGACACGCGTACGATTGGACACGACACGATTGGACACATGCACTATTGGACACGGGCACGATTGGACACGTTCAAATGGACACGCGTACGATTGGACACGTGCACGATTGGACACGGCACGATTGGACACGTGCATGATTGGACACGGCACGGTTTGACACGTGCACGATTGGACACGCACGATTGAACACGGCATGATTGGACACGTGCACGATTGGACAAGGCACGACTGGATACGCTCACGGTTGGTCTTACATGGTAACATGAAGTAAGATATAAGGAAACTCCACTCCGTAAAATAAAAGTGGACCAATTTTAGGTTTCGAGTTTAACTTCCGAATCTCGACACTCACAGCGCTCGTGAAATTAGTAGTGCTGCGCATAATGAGTGTGCCGTAAGAAAAGTGTCACGAACATAACCTGCCTCCTCATCGACCTCCTATTGACTGCTTGGAAACGTGAGTCAAAAATTAAAAAGAAGAAGAACCTGTCTCCTCCAAAATTTTAACTACGTTATGTTCGACTAAAAAAAAAACGCAACGAAGCGGATTGCCAGAAACTGAGCTTACGTAAATGTTTATTTTATTTATATTTTAAAAATTATAACACTTTCGTAATCCGAAAAATCCGCGTTAGCTCTTTTGTATTGTTAAATTGTGTAATCTATATGAAATTGTTGTGCATGTTACTCGCAAATTATACAGTGATGTTTTAGTGGAAATAGAGATACATGATGGATTGCCCTAGAGCAACAACGTTCAATGCAGATTTTAATTTTGTATGGCTATTGGAGCATCTTCATCTACTTCAATTGCCATCGGATAATTGGATTCATTCAAGGACAAAGAAATCACTGCGTTTCCACCAACTTAAACGTACTAGCAATTTCAGAAAGAAAGTAATTGTGCATTCGAACCTGAGAGTTACTGTTCTTATGAATGGCTTGACCTATCCTTTGTCAAAATATATGTATGTCACATGCATGGCTAAATTAAAAAATCTTCTCAACGATGTGGACAGGTTGAATCTTTGATAGCAACTGAAAATGATGTAAACTGTATATATAGTACAACGCACTACTAATTTGTATATGATGTTATACTTATGACGTTAGAATATCACAGTAACTACTCAGGAACCTTAATAATTTGTAATTATACATAGAATTGAATAATAAATAAGCAGTACAGTCGAATCTTGTAAAAATATCATTTATTTTAAATATAAAAATAAATTTTCATAATTGTATTTTACATTTTATTATTTTGTATGACATCAATTCTTTTCCTTTTGTTTCTTATCACATTTCTTTCTTCGTTTTTTCTTTTATTAATTGCCTTTACTTCATTTGATTTGACTTCAGTTTTTTTTATCTCTTTACAAGATGTCAGTTTAGCAGCTTTCCTTCTCTCTCGAGTCCGCTGATTTTGCATGTTGTTATTCTTATTTTCTTGTTTACAAATAAAATAAATTCGAGTTGTTAGATAGAAGCGAATAACGCCGTGAGTTAAAACCATGTCATGTTTGCAACATCCAACTAGTGGTAAAGATCGTACATTCTCCAAAATTTTTGTAATTTCAAAAAGAGTATTCGCATTTAATTCATTACTATTAAGAATATTCAAGGTTGCTTTTTCAAGGATTGAAATCAAAATCAAAAGGTTGACTGAAGGATTGATGAGATTGCCCTTGGACTTAAGCGAAATAAGCTTGTAGCTTTTTGGAACTAATTCTGATGAAGACAATTGCAGTGTTGCTATGCAGTTCTTGCATAGCACACGCTTCTGGCCAATATAAAAACACGCGAACCGTGACGTTTTTCTTGCCACGTAACCAGCTATGTATGCGACTACATATTCCGAAGTAGTACATGTAAAATAATCATGATCTTCAACAATGGACGCTGCTTCTGAGATAACTTCTACATTTATTGCACGATCCAATATAGTATCTATTTGAGCATCCCACTGAGTATTTCTTTCTGTTATGTCCATAATATCTTTAATTTTCAGCAGAACTTCCAGTATTTCTCCACCAGAGATGTTACTTCCTTTTGGAGGCTTCACAAGTGAGTATGTCGATACTAGCCGGTACATTTGTATAAATAACGTAGAATCTGGATGGTCATTCGATCCACAGCAGCTGCGCATCATTCCAAAAAATAGCTTTAACAAAAACATTTCTTTAAATATAATGGCAATACAAATAGTCTAAAATTTTGTTTATTGGATAAATTTTGGAAATAATATTAAAGATATAATGAAATTCTTACAACTACACTTTAAATTTTTAATAACAAATACATGAAATTAATAAAAAACCGAAATGTTGATTCTTCGATTCAATCGATACAGAAAAAAATGCTTTCAGCCTTTGAGCAATGTACGAAATTTCATTCAATAAACAATTTTACTATTTCTTAATTATTTGATTAGATTTTTTTGTTAAACCTCTAAACTATCTCGATTGAGTCTCGCTGTCATTAAATAATCAAATCCGTAGTCTTCCGTCAGATACTGACAAACTTCAAGAGTACCTTTCAATGATACTTTAAATCCATGACATGTAGAGTCGGACATGAAATGGAACCCTTTCTCCTTAACTTCCGTTTCCCAGGTATTTATGTACATCAAAAATTCTTCCACTATCTGTAACAATTGAGATTAAAAAATAAAATTTGATATGTTCAAGTAAGTGGAACAAAGCATCTATTTAGGTTGAACATAATCAATTATACCTTCCATGCTTCATTATCCAGCTTCATAGCATCTTTTGGTGTTCGGCAATTCATAGCTTTAATGAGCTTTTTTATTCTAGAGCAGAACAATTGCATCGATATAGAATCATGTAGTTCATTACATTCCTCTTGAAATAGTTGCATGGATTCTGCCACTCCAAAAAACTGAAATTATAGTATATTACAGGATCATCTAATAATTCTAATATATAATAAACATTTTAATTGTGTGTGAAGGTCGAGTAAATATACCTGAAATGCTAGTGCAACGTTCATTTTTTGATAATACCGAGGCTCAATGTGGTCGATGGTTAACTTGTGAACAACTTTTAAGTTGAAACCTGTAGGATTCTCGCTTTTTAACAAAGCATACCAATGTGAAAGCTTTATCACGCCATCAGGTGTCTTTGAACAAAAATATAATTTATTTATTATATTGTAGTGTCTGTGTTGAATCGTCCCTTGTGCCATACATACTTGTGGATATAGCGATTCTTACCCATGTTTCTGTATGTTTGATTATAAAATTGCGTAAACATTTCACCAGATGTGGAAAATCCGAAATAAACCATAACCGACGAGATGGGTCAACGATGTGTTCACAACTCACGTTTTCTTCGGTTATTCCAAATTTAACCCACATCGAGCGATTCCATGTGGCTCCATCGGTTGTAATTACATCTACATGTAATCCTGCCTGTTCTACAAGTATGATGCACTCTACAATGAGCTGATGAAGAACTGTTGCGGAGGCACAACCTTTGCTGAGGAAACAGGCTAGAGATTGGACCCATTTGCCTTGAAATGGTTGGAACATCATTACAAGTGCATGATCGCCTTTTTTCCCCTTCTGGTGTAGGGGAGTGTACTTTCCTAAATTAGTGAATCCTTGTATTTCCAATCGTGCACGACTAAAAGATACTGCCTCCGATAATTTCATCTCATCAATTAATAAGACTCCTGTAATTATACAATGAAAATAACTGCATTAAAAACAAATAATAATTAGAATGTCAAAAATAAATTCTTGTAACATATAAAGATACAATACCATGAGTTTCTCTGCTGTTCATATGTACAGTCTTTTCTTTCAATACATGGAATGTACTTTCTTGAAATCCATACGTACCCTTGATGGTTTGAATATACCGATCAAGAGTTGTACTACTCGGTAAAACAAGGATATTGTGATTACGAATATGCTCATATGCTTTTCTACTTTTTATTCTCAAAAGAAGACATTCGAAAATCCACTGGTTAGTGTACCTTATACCTTTACGTCCCTTTAGTCGTGATGCAGATAAACACGCACGAACTGCTATCTTTTGATTGTCAGGCAAATTTGTTATCGCTTGTTCTACAGCTTCCGTGTTTGCTTTAGCACATAATTGTTGCAAGCTTCTTATTTTTAATTGAAATTCTTTTTAATCTTGTGAAAAATCAAAATAGAAGTACCAAGGAGAATGTTTTTCAAATTATAAATATTGGTTTAAAATTACCTTCGCCCGCAATCTAATATTACGTTTAAGAGCATTTTTTAGTTTCTTTAATCCTTTTGTACATTTCACTTTTAGTGTCTTATTAGTATTTCGCAATTTCCTCATAACTTGCGTCCGTCTTTTAGTACATATTTTACACCTTTGTGTTTGGGGGCCACTCTTGCTTTTCAATACATAACCGCTACACTCGATGGTTCTATGAAATAATAAATCCATGGTATTTAACTGTTTTAAATATTACGTCTTATATAACATATGACAATATCCTTACTTTCCTTCAGTCCCTATTCCTACTCCACCACAAGGGAGTAGAGTTGAAACTCGTCTAAGAACAGCAGACATCTCAGTGATTGTTTTGATTTTTTCTAATCCCGGCACATATATCCGTCTATCTTCTATGAAGATCTGTAAGAAATATTTATATTTATATTACATATTACTTACAATTCTGCCATACATGTATATCATGAAAAATTGTCCTCTCATGTTACTTACTTGAAGATTCATATCTTGTAACAAAGTTACACGGAATGCAGTATTATATTGGTCACCCCACTGAGCCCATATGATTTTATCTGAGAATACTTGCGAAAACCACAGTTTTGTTGGAAGAGTGACTGTTTCATATAGATTTTGTATTATAGAAAATTGGTCAACTACTGGCATCGAGGCACATTCTTGTATCGGCGAGGCACATTCTTGTATCGGCGAGACACATTCGTGTATCAGCGATGATTGTACTTCAGAAATAAAGTTTGCCAAATTGAATTCATTATTATTCTCTAGTGAATTATTATCCTCTGTGGTAAAATCTTGGATTTCAATTTTGCACTGTTGTACAGATGTGGAAGAACGACTTATATTTTCAAGAGCTGCATCACTATTTAGTAGTTTACAAGGCACAGCTCCTAATTTAAGACTCGGTCTTTCTTTTGGCATTATAAAAATATTTTTATTATTCAATTCAGTAACACAGTACCTC